AGCTGTCATTCTATGTTCTGTAGGAATTAAAACGCCTTCTACAAAATGACCATCATGTAAAACAAACCGGTTTTTAATAGTTGTATCATCGCTTAATTGCGTATGGTCTATATTTAATTTTCCTAAAAAATATTCTTCCTTTAAACGCTCTCTTGTTGCTTTAGAAATATTGAGCATATCATCTATCGAAGTGATATTTTTTTGCCAAATCCATTCATTGATTTGTTTAACCCTAAAGGCTTTTTCGCCTATAGAAATAATGAGTGTTTCCAACTCGGCTTGAGACAAATGTCGCAGATTTTTCATCTGTGTAAAAAATTTTATTGGCACGAAGATAAACTATCCTTTTTGTAAACTTGCTATTTGAATGTTGTTGTATTTTTGATGGACATTTATTTGCATCTTGAATTAAAATAATTTTGGTAAGGAAATGCTTCGTAATGTTGATTTATTGAATGGTGCCAACGCTGTTGTCGATGCACAAAGAAAATGTCCTTGACCCCATAAAAAATAAAAAAAGGACAACTTTCGTTGTCCTTTTTACCCATAAATTTTTGTTTATTAATCTGGAACTTTTCCGTTAAGGAAACTGTTTCGATTGCTGATAGGCGAACCATTAGGATTGCTATCTAGGATATTAACAGTTGAGTATACTTCTTCGTTTGATGCTGGATGGCTTTCTAACTGCACACCGTTTCTCAAATAGGCAGGTGTATTGTTTTCGTCTGCATCAATGTCTGCTTTGTTTACATTAAAACTCATTGAGCGAAGTTTAGATGCACGATCTTCAAAAGCACGTTTTTGCAACTCGAAATTTGCTTCTGCTTCTAATTCACTATCAGTCAATAAACGACTTCCTTTGCGACGGTTTAATGTAATGCCTTTGATGGTTACATAATCATCTTGCATTTGAGCTTCGGTTTTCTCAACTGCAACAAATTCTGTTACTTGTGGTGAAAACATTTGCTCTAACTCATTTTTTACATCTATCAACACTGGTGTTGGTGTAATTTCTTCATAACGCATAATAGGTTGTTCCACAATAATTTCTTGTACTTGTGGTGCTACATATTCTACAATTGGTTCTTCTATTACTTGTGGAGTTTCTTCTATCGTTGGAGTTAATTCAAACACAACTTTTGGTTCTTCTACCACTTCCATTTTTTCTTCATTGGCAGTTGGTTGAAACGCAGGACGCATCATAGTTTTTGCAAAACCCATTCCAATAGCTAATACATTTGGAATACTTGGTTCTTCAATGATTGTCATGGTTGGTGCCATTGCATCTACAACTGCTGTAGGTGTTTCAACAATCGTTGCTGTAGGTTCTTCGCTTGTAGTCGCTTCGTTGGTAGGAGTTTCTGTTGGTTCACCTAACACATAAATTTCTTTATTTTTTTCTGAAAATGGTTTTTTAATTTCAGCAGAATATGCTTTTTCTGTGGTGTTGTGTTGGAAACCTGTTGCAATAATTGTAACAGAAATATTGTCACCCAAATTATCATCAAAACCTGTTCCAAAAATTACATCACAATCTTCACCTGCTTGGTCTTGCACAAATGCTTGAATCATTTCAACTTCATCCAAAGTATGCTCATGAATTCCATGTGCCGAATTGATATTTAATAAAACCCATTTTGCTCCTGCAATGCTGTAATCGTTCAACAAAGGAGAATTAATTGCATTCTCAACTGCTTCGTAAGCACGGTTTTCACCACTTGCTACAGCACTTCCTAATATGGCTGAACCTCCGTTTTTCATAACGGTGCTAACGTCTGCAAAGTCAACTACAATATGTCCTTGTGAATTGATTACATCGGTAATACATTTAGTGGCTGTTGCTAAAATATCATCTGCTTTTACAAATGCTTGTGAAGCAGGAATGTTTCCAAAATTTTGACGCAATTTATCGTTAGAAATTACCAAGATTGTATCTACATGATTTCTTAATTGATTGATACCTTCTTCTGCTTGACGCTGACGTCTTTTACCTTCGTATGTAAATGGAGTAGTAACAATACCTACTGTTAAGATTCCTAAATCTTTTGCCGCTTTTGCTACTATTGGTGCTGCACCAGTACCTGTGCCTCCACCCATACCAGCCGTTACAAAAACCATTTTGGTATTATTGACTAATAAATTTTCGATTTCGTTTATACTTTCAACACCAGCTTTGTGCCCAATTTCGGGATTTGCACCAGCACCTAACCCTTGAGTTAATGAAGGCCCTAGCTGAATTTTTGTAGGTACTGAACTGTTGTTTAATGCTTTTTGGTCGGTGTTACAAACAATAAAATCGACACCATCGATGCCTAAATTGTGCATGTAATTTACGGCGTTTCCGCCACCTCCTCCAACACCAATCACCTTGATGATGTTAGAATTTTCGTTTTTTGGAAGCTCAAATTGAATCATTTTTTTTTGAATTTATGGGAGTTAAAAAAGTTGTGAGTTTTTAATTTTTAGTTTTTAATTATTTCTTTTAATTATCAAATTGGCACATTGGCATATTTGCAAATCGGCACATTAATCAAGCTTTTCATCATCAATGTTTTCGAACCAGTAAATAACTTTATTTTTTACAGAACCGAAAATGTTACCAATCAGTTTTGAACGCTCTTTTGTTTTTTCTTCTTTTACTTCTTTTGCAATTTCCACTTGTTCTGTAGTTTGAGGAATAATATCAAATATATCCGGTTGAGGATAATTAGATGTCATCGTATTATCAGCTAATATTTCTGCAGGTGTTGGTGCAAAAAATTGTGCATCAATATTAGTAGTAGTTTCTCCAAATGCTTCACGTAAAAAATCTTCAGGAGTTGGCTCAAATGTTTTTGCCATTTCTACAAAACGACCTTCCACTTCTGCTTCTGGGTTTTCTGAATTTAATGAATCATCAGAATTTGAAGAAATAAAACGTAAACGATTACTTTCGAAATCATCATATCCTCTTAAAATTAATCCAATACAAGTGGCATACATTGGCATCATTAATTCTTTGTGATGACCAGCTGCTAAATGTTCATTTGGAAAACCAATACGAGCCGACAAACCTGTTTTATATTCTGTTAATTGAATTAAATGTTTCAATTGGCTACCACCACCTGTCAAGATAATTCCTCCATGTAATTTATCAATTAAATTTAATTGCTTTAAATGATAGGTTACATATTCCAAAATTTCTTCCATACGACATTGAATAATGTGTGCTAAATTTTTAGCAGAAAGTTCTTTTGGTTGTTGACCTTTTAAACCTGGAATGGTAATGAATGCATTTGATTTTGCTTCGTCAGCCAAAGCCATTCCAAATTGAGTTTTCATTTGTTCTGCTTGAGAACGCAACACACCCAATCCTTGACGAATATCGTTTGTGATGTTTACTCCTGCAATTGGAATAACTGCTGTGTGTTTCAACATACCATCATGAAAAACAGCAAGGTCAGTTGTTCCACCTCCAATATCTACGATAGCAACGCCTGATTCAAAATCTTCAGGACACATAACAGCTGCTGCAGATGCTAAAGGTTGCAACACTAAATCTTTGGTTTGCAAATCGGCACGAGTTACACAACGATGTATGTTTCTAATAGCCGTTTTATCGCCTGTAACGATATGGAAATTTGCACCAATTTTGATTCCAGTCATTCCAATCACTTCTTGCATAGAAAAACCTGAAAGGGTATCTACCGTAAAATCTTGAGGAATAATATCGATGATTTGATCGCCTGATGGCAAGAACGTTTTGTATTGATCTTTTAACAAACCATCAATATCTTCTTTACGAATTTCTTCTTCGATATTAGCCAACACTCTATCGCCATGTGTTTGAATACTTTTGATATGATGACCTGCAATACCTACATAAACTTCTTTAATCGTTAAGTTAGGATTACTAGCCATGCACATATCCAATGCTACATGAATAGATTTGATACAGTCTTCGATATTTAAGACCATACCATGTGTAACACCACTGCTGTCTGATTTTCCGAAACCTAATATTTCTAGTTTTCCGAATTGATTTTTGCGACCAGCGATGCAAGCAATTTTTGTGGTTCCAATGTCAAGACCAACGATTACAGGATTTTCTTTTTGCATAATATCTATTTTAAAGTTTTTATTTTAATGTTTTGAGTTTTAGTAGATTTAGGTTTTTCTTTTGAGTCTGCCTTTTTATCTTCTTTTTTTATTGTGATAGCTTGTGTTTTTTTAGGTGTTGGTTTGGCTGTAGCAATTTGTGACTTTGTATTTTTTTCTTTAGGAATTTCAATTTTAGGTTTCGCAATTTCTTTTAAATTTTCCTTTGAATAAGGGTCTTCTGCTAAAATTTCTCCTCTAGTATTTCTGCAAACTATTTGACCCTTAAAACGCAAATCAATTTCGTCATACAAACTCCATTTTACGGTATTCATACCTTGTTGATAGAAGGTAAATAAACGAGCCATTTTGTTTTCTAAATCCTCTGTAGTTCCTAAAATAATGGTTTGTGTTCCCATCATTGGCACTAACAAAATTTGATTATTTGAGTTCACATCAATTTGTGCAACAGCTACATTCCAGAAAGTATCTTTATCAATAAATTGTGCTAATTGAACCAATGAAGATTTTAATTTCAAATCGTTTTTAGTATATGACAAACGTTCTGTTGTAACCACCGAAACACGAGGCGTATATTTTTTACTCAACGAAATCGGATTGGCATATTCATCTAAATAATAAGCATAATCACTGCTATCTTTTTGTTGAATGCGAACGACAGGATTTTTTTGCAACACTTTTACGTTCATAAAATTATTAGACGACACAAATATTTCTGCCGATTTTACCCATTGATTGCTTTCAATAT